GTAAAGTAGAGATACCTAAAAGTTTACTTAAGTACAGTAATGAAGTATTTGTACTTTGTTACTTGACACTTCTGATGTTTTATTTCCGGGTGGATCATCTCAATGAGTGGTCCTCCTAACTTTCAATCATTCTGGTGATCTGTTTACCTAAGGCAATCCTACGCGCTGGTGAGTCTGACATCATGGAGAAAATGCTAATCTTCTTTTTGAAAGTTAGCTTGTATGAGTGACCCAAACAGCAACTATTAAACAGAGCGTGCACGAGGAGAGATAGCCTTGTGCACGAAGAGAGAAATGGGCTCGTGCACGAAGAGATATGGGTACGTGCACGAGGAGAGATGGGCTCGTGCACGAGGAGAGATGGGCTTCTGCACGAAGAGAGATGGGCTTCTGCACAAAGAGAAATGGGCTCGTACACAAGGAGAGATGGGCTCGTACACGCTCTCACACACATTCAATAGGTTTTTAATGCAACAAGCAACAACGTGGGAAGATCTGTGATGCTGCGGGCCTTTTTGTTTTCCTCTAAAGATACCAAGAAATTAGAAAGCATAGAATCAGAGAGATTAGAAATGATTTTAAAACCTTTGGTCTCAACATTCGAATGAGTCTCAGTTTTATAGTCGGTTGAAAATCAAACTCAAGCATTTCATTATATTTTGGTGATAGTGACTTTTGGGTGACTTTTGGGTGTATTGTGCTGAAAACCACTGGTTCCCATTCTGTTGATAAGTTTCCCTAATAATTTAGCTTATATTTTTAAAGTGGAACGTTGAATGTCAAAGAAACCTTCTTTACTGTTTCAGAGAAATAAAGTAGAACAAAGGGGTTGGATTTCTTGGATAACATGATGTAAGAATATATGAGCTTCTAGAGGAGGTTTGGTGTTTCCCAGCGTGGCTCAGCGGGCCGAGCTGAGCATCACTCAGCTGCAAACAATGCTCCTCTGTCCAGCCAGCGAGCTGCTCCGCTGCTCTACTGCAGACAACAGCTTATTATGGAATCAAAGATCCCCCAGCCGCGGCTCTCGGTGCCTAAATACTGTCCCCTGCTGTGCACGCACGCCCTGTCACCAGCCCAAGGGCACAGTGAGGCCGCAGAGGGCACGGCAGATACTGAGGGGTGTCACACACATGAAAGCACAGTCAGCCTCCATCAGAACGAACAGCAGCTTATTAGCAGGATACTAGTCAGCCATTAGCAGCCTTACCAAAGGTCACCCAGGTCACACAGCTGCTCTCCTCGCCGCCGATGATGACAGAGGGATGCAAAAGGATGGATAATTAACCGGCCTGCAGGACGGGATGACAGCAGGGAGGGAAATATCTGCTTAGAGAAGAAAACACTTTGCTTCTCTTCTCTCTGCAGACCAAATTCAAGCAGGCAGAAATTAATTCAGCTCTGATGATAAGTTTAATCAGTTGGTCTGTAGACTGTCGCCTCCCAGGGACTAAAATCAAAGGTGAGCCTCAACATTTTCCATTTGGACACCAGAGATTTTTAGCTAAAATTAATGGTTTATTCTAAAAAATAAGGAAAATAAATCACAGAGTGCTTGAAACCCTAACCTTCTGACAAAACGCTATTTGCACTATTATACATGTCTGATAGTGATCAGGGGTTCTGGATCAAAGTGCAGAATGATTGTGAGCTGGAGGAAGCCTGGTGAGTTCATGAGAATAAAAAGAAAACGAGAACAGGAAACAGACGAAGAGACATAGAGGTGGAGCGAAAAGGTGATAAAATGAATAACAGAGAAGCAACTGAAGAAGAACAGGAGAATTAACAGGAATAAACAAAGAACATCTAAGAAACTATTACTATGAAAACTAAGGACCAACTAAAACAATTAGAAATAAAACTAGAAAACAATCTTTTAATAAACCAAAATGAAACCCTAATGAAATCCGCAGGCCTGGACTCATATAACATATTTAAAGACATTTAAACTGACTTCATAGTTCAGAAAATCAAACTTTAATCTTTAACTGTTTTAAAGCATCGGATGTCACTTTAAATATTCTGTCTATTTTATTTTCCATTATTTATTCTGCCTTTGATGAACAGGAAAAGTTTGTAACACTATAAATTACGAGTAACAATAACACTAGAGAAGGAAACAGGAAAACATTCAGTTTTCAATAATCGGAAATCTTTGAAAGTCTAAAGTTCAAAGCAGCAACAGTCATCAGATAAAGATTAACAACCAATTCAGCTTAGATTAAAATAAACTGACTGTAATCTGGGACTATATGATGGGATTAATGTATCAAACATAACAGGATTATCATCTTCGGACAGCAGCAAACATTTAAAATTAAAAGTTTTTTCAGTATTAATGTAGAGAGAATGTGGAAAACTTGGACTTTGACTAGGCCATTTTAGAACATACATTTGATGTAAAACATTCAGTAGAACTCTGGATGTTGTCCATGCTGATAAAATTCCCCACAGCATGATGCTGGCACTACTATGTGTCCCCCTCCAGATGGTGCGTTCAGGCGCCGTCTTATTTCTCTACTGTATGTTGTGTTTTGCTTCATGGAAACTTCTTATCACTTTTATCTATGAAGGCATTTTCCAAACTTCCTAAGGATCAGATTTGTTGTGAGCTGATATCCGCCTGCTGGACCACTTCTCTAACCTCTACATATATGAGCGGTAGTTTTATAAAACTGGGCACTATTTATTTAAGTAAACAGCAGAATCAGTCCTTTAAGGGTTAAACTATTTTATAAGATTGAACATGGATTAGTTTGCTTTTGTTAGAGGAAAGCTATTACACCAGATGTCCTATAAGCCGGAAGAAGTGGTGAAAAACAGGCTGTAAATCAAATAGTTGATTAGTGGAATAAATGACTCTTAGTGTAGTTTCACCACTCAACCACAGGGTGGCGCCTGAGTCTCAGTCAGTGGCCTCTGAAGACACCGTCAGAAAACTTTGGGTTTTAGACTTGAAGCAAAGACTAAGTTCTGTCTCTAAATCAAAGTGAGAAAATCAGAGTGTAGAGAAATAATCTTAAAGGTTTTAATCAACATAAAATCTGCTGAAGATATTAAACATCAGAAAAACTTCCACAAAGTTTCCCTATGATTATTTCCTCCAACATTTCTGACATGATTGCAGATTTATTTTCAATTCAATTCAATACAATTCTATTCAGTCTATTTCTATAGCTCCAATTCACATCATGTCATCTCAGGTCACTTTCCAGTTCACCAGATCATCCAGTCAGATTGATTCAAAGTTTTCTATCTAAGGAAAACCAGCTGATTGCATCGACTCATTGACTCTTCAGCAATCCCTCACACTAAGCATGCTTGTAGCGACAGTGGAGAGGAAAAACTCCCTTTGAACAGGAAGAAACCTCCAGCAGAACCAGGCTCAGTGTGAGCGGCCATCTGCTGAGGCCCACTGGGGTTCAAGGAGACAGAAGCAGACATAGAAAAAGAAGCATAGATACAAAAGGCAACTGTCAACCAGCTCCACAGGCGGCCCCGTCCAGGAAACACACAGCCAGGCAGACGAGCTCCGAGCCAGCTCCCATGTCAGAGGATGAAGAGAGCACATCCAGTTAGTCACAGTCAGAGAAACAGGACTACACTGGAAAACAGGCCAAGCTCCAACATCTAGAAACAAAGGTGTTGATGGCAGCAGCACAGCTGATATTTCTCTCCAGGATGGAGTCACAGCCAAACAGGAACAGACCAGATGAAGCTACTATGAGAAAAAGCAGAGAGAGCAGAACGTTAGAGATTGAACTAACAGATTCTGCAGAGTGGGAGAATAGAGATAGAATGAAGCAGAATGATGAAAAAGGGGTCCCTATGTCCTCCAGCAGTCTAAGCCTATAGCAGCAGAACTATAGAGATAGCTCAGGATAACCTGAGCCACTCTAACTAGAAGCTTTATCAAAAAGGAAAGTTTTAAGCCTAGCCTTAAAAGTAGACAGGGTGTCTGCCTCACGGACTAAAACTGGTAGTTGGTTCCACAGGAGAGGAGCCTGAGAACTAAAAGATCTGCCTCCCATTCTACTTTTAGAAATTCTAGGAACCGCTAGTAAACCTGCAGATTGAGAGCGAAGTGCTCTGTTAGGAACATAAGGAACAATCAGATCTCTGATATCAGATGGAGCTTGGCCATTTAAGGCTTTATATGTGAGAAGGAGGATTTTAAATTCTATTCTGGATTTAACAGGAAGCCAATGAAGAGTAGCCAGGACAGGAGAGATATGATCTCTCTTTTTCATTTTCTTTTTTTCTCATTAATGAAAAGCTGTTGGATTTCAAGAAACACACAGACATTACTAAAGCTAACTCAGCTCAATCCGCTTCTCCAGGCGTCTCACGTTGTGGGATTAGATTAGACTGGGAGAGAAAAAAGGTCAAATTAAGATGTTATTTAATAATAATAATAGAAGTGTATTAATCTCACATTGGAGAAATTCCCCCTCTGCATTTAACCCCTCCCCCTGGGGAGCAGTGGGCTGCCAAGGTGCGGCGCCTGGTGAGCAGTGTGGGGTTAAGGGTCTTGCTCAGGGACCCAGAGTAGAGGCTGTGGGGATTGAACCAGGAACCATCTGAGTAAACAAGCAAACTTCTCTAACCACTAGGCCATCACTGCCCTTATTTATCTGCTCTTTAAATCTGACTGATACAACAACAAACACACGTGTTGCATAACGCCTTTATTCAGCTGGGTGTAACTTTAATCCAAAAGATTAAGGAGCAGTTTATGATTTGGTTCAGTCATTCATTTATTTGAAGGTGCTCTAAAGTTCTGCATGTTCTTTATACCGTCACCGACATTAACAGGCTTCACAGTCAGCTGCACACGCATCACGGTCTGAAACTCCAGGCTACCAGAGAAAAAAAACAAAAAAACATTTTTCCCACAGTCCAGAAACATTCATGTTTCTGGACTGTGGGAAAAATGTTTCCAGAAACATTCATGTTTCTGGACTGTGGGAGGAAGCCGGACTACCCAGAGAGAACCCACAGATGCACAGGGAGAACATGCAGACTCCATGCAGAAAAACTCAGGACTGGAATCAAACCCGGAACCTTCTGGTTGCAAAGCAGCAGTGCTACCCACTGTACTAAGCAGAAGGTAAACACCTGAGTAAAACTAGAGGGCAACGGTAAAAAGAGGCAGAGAGAAAACTGGAACATTACAAACTGCTGTTTAATGGATGCTTTGATCAAACAAAAACAAAACAAAATGTTTGTTTTTGTTGATAACAATAGAATAAAGTGCTTGTTCTTCATTCGTACAGGTTTAACTTTAAAGTCTCTTTTTCTGCACTATATAACTTATTTGCGTTTGGTCACTTAGAAACAAAGTAGATTGATCCGCAAATAGTCGCATTAAAGACAGAATTTTAAAAAGCAGATAATCTAGAAAAGGATTTTGTGCTTTCTTGCCATTATAGCAAATAATAAGTTAAAATTCTGCCCTAAGATCTGAAAAGATCTGAGATAAATTAATAAAAGCAAATATTTACAAAAAAAAAATGCAAATTGACAAGAAAAATATTCGGTTTGTGAAACAGATCAAGCACAAATAATACTGAACGGATCAGGAAATACATTTACATTTGTGGAAATAAATACTTGGTCACCACAATTAGAAGTAAAGGAGCACTGACTGGCATCTACATGTATTTTATAAATGAAATTGGTAAATGTTATATAGAGCCAAAACTTATTCCAGGTCTAGAAAAATACAACGCTTTCTCACATCATGCATCTTATATCTTGAATTTCAATCAGTTCAATACTTTGGTTGAATCAGACAATAACAAAAAAGGCAGAAATTGTGGTTAAACTCCCGATTCTCTGCTGATGTATAAAGGAAGAGTCGGCTGGAGTCTATCCAGGCTGATCTGGTTTTCTGAGTCCAGAACACACAGCATCTCCACTGTTTGCTCTTTCACAAATGCCCCTTTGAAATCCAAGTGAATGTCATCTCTAATTTTGATCTCCCTTTTACTTCCTGCTTTGAGGCTGTCCATGTCCTTATCTGCTTCCTCATCATCTGCGTCGTCTCCGCAGCACAGAGCTACTTCATTCTCATAGCAGAAAGCACTGGGAGAGTGAGATCCCTGCAAACGTCTTGCTGCTCTCGGAGCGAAAAGTGACGGAGATCGGGAGAAGCTTGAACTGGAGGAGGACAAGTGACCACTGTGGCCCTTCCTCTGGCTCAGTTCTCTGGCACTACAGTGAGGTGTAGATGGCACTTCGTAAGTCTTATGGAAGCGAGAATAGTCCACATGGTAGCGGTCACCCTTTTCAAACACCACTGGCTCAAAGCGGTGACCCCAAAGTATCTCCCTGGCCAAGTAGGAGCTTCTGGCCTGTGTAGTCATGGCTGTCGCCTCCACCATCCCCTCCAATATGACCACAATCTCAAAGTCCTCCTTCTGCAGGTCGCAGCGGCTCAGGTTATACAGAGGACTGTTTTTGTTGATTTCGTGGACCACAACCAGCGGGGACACCAGAAACAGCCGATCTAGTCCGTCGTCATAGCCGACGTCGATGTCTGTCTGCTCCAAGGGAAGGTACTCACCCTCCGCCGTCACATGCGCTTTGATGAGCTGAGCACGCACATGGGCTTCAACAATGTGGCTCTTACGCATGTTCCCCAGGCGCCACATGAGGCACAGCTTACCATCTCGCAGAGCGATGACGGCGTTATGAGAGAACACCAAGGTCTGCGCCCTCTTTTTAGGGCGAACCATCTTTGCCATGATGGTGCCGATCATGAAAGAGTCAATTATACAGCCAACAATGGACTGCACTACTACTGTCACAACAGCAATCGGACATTCCTCGGTGACACAACGGAAGCCATATCCAATAGTGGTCTGGGTCTCTATTGAGAAGAGGAAAGCCCCAATGAACCCCTGGATGTGGAGAATGCATGGACGCCTTTTATCTTTGGCCTCCTCTGGATTACTTCTAGGATTCTCATCTGCTACAGGGAGCTGCAGCTCAAAGTCTCCATGAACAAGAGCCACTCCCCAGAAAATGAAAGCAAACAGCAGCCAGGACAGAAGGAAGGTGGCGGTAAAGATAAGCAGCAAGTAACGCCAGCGTATGTCTACACAAGTGGTGAAAATATCAGCCAGGTATCTTCGTGATTTACCCTCCATGTTGTTGAAAACCACGTTGCATTGGCCATTCTTCTTGACGAAGCGGCTGCGCAGCCGTCCGGTGCTGAGATCAAGGTCCAGACGACACAAAGGTGAGGAGCGACAGCTGCTGTGGATGATTGGCTCGTTGGTCATCCTCAAAGGCAAAGCCCCATGAGCTTCTTCACCTCCTAAATACTCTCCCCCTCCGTCCTCACCCCGAATGCACGCCCCTGATAGGTTCTGCTGAGTCAGAGGACTGTGGCCATTGTGGAGACCCAAGCTGGATATCTTTAAGGCATCTTCATCAGTGGAAACAATGCTGTATCTGAAGGATGAAGGAAAGAAGAGGAAAAATAGTGACTAAAATGACCAGGTAACATCATAGTGGTATGAATATTTTCTTGGCGCTGATCACTGGCTTAATGGTTCGTTTCATTCTTGGGTGTGAGAATTATTCTAGCTTTACCAGTTTGTGTTGTGGTTGCCTGATCCTGACCCGTTTCTGTCTTTGGACCTTTGAGCCTGCCTGTTCTGTTTGCCTGACCTGTCTTTGGCTTCTTGTTGGATTCTACTTGTGGACTGAACCTGGATCTTCCTCCTTACTTCGCCCTCTGTTTCTCCAGAGTTTCCTGCCTTAATTGCAAATCAAACGAGATAATCAAATCTAACTGCTGCTACTGCAGATCCGCAGACTGCTCATTTTAAATAAACGCTTTTTGAATAATCCCACAATCTGCTTTGCCTGAATACTGAGACCTTCTGTTTTGAGTCGTGACAAATATATAACAGAAACATATAATCTGATATTTCTCCATATCAGTTTCTCAGAAATTAACGCAAAAAAGAGAAATCTTATTATTACTTAATTCATAATGAGATTATCAGACAATATATTAGGCTTGATTGAATAATATTTTTAGATGATTATAAATATTTTCATTTTTAAGTTAATTGCTAAGTTATCAGCTTCTAAGCCATGATGTTAACTCTTTCTAGGGATTTCCTAACTCTGCAGCTCTTCAATTCTATTCTATTCAATTCTATTTATTTTATTTCTATAGCTCCAATTCACATAATGTCATCTCAAGGCAGTTTACAGTTCACCAGATCATCCAGTCAGATTGATTCAAAGTTTTCTATCTAAGGAAAACCAGCTGATTGCATCGACTCATTGACTCTTCAGCAATCCCTCACACTAAGCATGCTTGTAGCGACAGTGGAGAGGAAAAACTCCCTTTGAACAGGAAGAAACCTCCAGCAGAACCAGGCTCAGTGTGAGCGGCCATCTGCTGAGGCCCACTGGGGTTCAAGGAGACAGAAGCAGACATAGAAAAAGAAGCATAGATACAAAAGGCAACTGTCAACCAGCTCCACAGGCGGCCCCATCCAGGAAACACACAGCCAGGCAGACGAGCTCCGAGCCAGCTCCCATGTTAGAGGATGAAGAGAGCACATCCAGTTAGTCACAGTCAGAGAAACAGGACTACACTCTTCTTATATTTTCTTAAAACTGACAACAGATGAACTGTAAAGTGCCTTGAGATGAATTCTGACACATTTGAAAGAGATTAAGATCAGTGTTAATGTGCAGGACTGGTAAAGTGTTTCCTCGCTCTAAGAAACATAAATCATTGTGAGATAATTAAAATCTAAAGGATATTTTGGTTGCCAGTTAGAATCATAGGTGTTAAGTGAGCTGATCATTAACCATGCAGAGGTGCAGTCAGATGCAGCCACTGGGGTAGAAATTAGCCCAGCTCTGAATAACCCCTGCCCCTGCTGACCTATGACCTTTACATCGGATCTGAATCCCTGCTCATGAAACCTGTGAGCCGCAGCATTTCAGAGTAAATGTGAAATCAAATCTGATGCACATTGCTGACGTCAATGCTGCGCCTGACCTCCCACTACCCCATACCAGCTTGGGTTTTAAACTCTCTGCTTTGCAGGATATCAATGCATCCGCCTGCTGTTTATGAGCAGCTAAAGGAGCTCAGGGGCCCCTCCAGCACCAACAACACCCCCCAAGGCCCATCTCTCTTTCTTTGCGGGGCCTTTCCATTGACTTCCATAGATTTCTACAGTCTAACCGTTAGCCTAACCCTAAACTTAATTCACACCTTAGTTCTAAGTTACCCCTGACCCAAAAACCACATTTCCCCTGGTGGGGTCCAGGCATCGGGGCCCACATGGAGCAGCCGGTCCTCACAACATGCTATTATCCCTGAAAATGGGCCCCACAATGTATAAAACAAAAGAAGACACATACTGTCCTTTAACTCCAAAACCCCAAACAATAACTGTGTTTGTTTCAGGTTTTATGGTCTGATTTAAAGTGAACACACCTGTTGACCCTCACCGCTCCCATGGCACCGCTGATCATCAGGCTGTGTCTGCGAGGGCAGTAATGGAGGCTGGGGCAGCCAGTTGCAACCATTAACGTACTGTTACTGGACGAGGAGGATGTAGGAGCTCAGGCCTGTCGTACGGTGCTGATCAGGCATCTTTTGTCTTCAAACATTTCCTGTGGAAAGATAAGATGAAGAGCGTGTTTTACTGAATAATCAGAAACATGGACTCTAAACATGAATAAAGGAATAATACTAAAGAAAATTCATACTGTGATAACTAAATGCAAAGACAGATTGTGGTTTAATTGTAAATCTTGTGACAGGTGAGAAAGTATTGAACGTGCAGAGAAACAAAATGTTAATGAGATGGTATGATCCGCACAACACAGTCCTTGGTTCTGCCCTGTTGTAATAACTCTGCATAATAACACATTACTGTGTTTTATGAATTATTTATCCAACAAGGAAATGAAGAAAAACAGGCAGAATCAAAGGCGAAAGAAAAAGGGTTGCAGCGTTGCTCTTATGAACCCGTCGGCCTGTTCCTCTATTGAATATGTTTCCTTAGAATCTATAGAATATGATATATATATATATAAATATATATATATATATATATATATATATATATATATATATATATATATATATATATATATATATATATATATATATATATATATATATATATATATATATATATATATATATATATATATATATATATATATGATAATATGATATATATTATCATATATATATATATATATCATTATCATAGGTATATGAAATGTAATTATAAAGTAAAGTTTTCCCCTCCAATTCTCTACTGAGAGAAACAAGCCTCACAAAACCAGAAGCTTGTTATGTGGGAAACTAATGGAGTAGATCAGTGATTCCCACCCGGGGTTACTCGTACCCCTAGTGGTCCGCGAGTGCATTGCAAGGCATACATAAACATATTTTGTCAGAATCTGAATCAGATTTATTGCCAAGTAGGTTTGAACTTACAAGGAGTTTGACTTGATGTTGATGATGCAGACAAATTATATATATATAGAATTAATAGTTATACACAATATAAAGACATAATATAGCATATAGAAATATACTATATACACAATAGACATGTTGGTGTAGCTTGTAGGTCCTGAACAGAGGAGAGAGAGGCAGTGTCAGAGTGACCGGGGTCTCAGGCTGGTAGCAGATGGGAAGATCGTAGGTTTTGGTCCTGATGGAGCGCAGCCTCCTGCCAGAGGGAAGGGACTGAAATAGATTGTGGTTGGGGTGTAAATGATGAGCTTCAATCTGCCTTCAGACCTCAGAGTCCTGGAGGCTTACAGATCCTGGAGAGATGGAAGATGTGGAGGAGGTGAGGAGGTGAGGAGGATGGAGGAGTAGAAGAGCACCATCGTTGTCCTCCAGCTGCTGCAGTTCATCCTCTGCTGGTCTTTCTTGGTGAAGGAGTTGATGTTCAGCTCCTACTTTAGGTCCTGTGAGATGATCGTTCCCAGGAAGAAGAAAGACTCCACAGTGTCAATAGTCTCAGAGAGTGATGGACATAGCTGGGGCTGAGTTCTTCCTGAAGCCCTCAACCATCTCCACTGCTTTCAGATCCAGGTTGTTCTACCTCCACCAGGTCACCAGATGGTCAACGTCCACCTGTAGGCGTCTCCATCAGAGATATGTCCCATGAGAGCGGCGGCGTCCATGAACTTCAGACGCTTCAACGACTGATGACTAGAGGTGCAGCTGCGGGTGTTCAGGGAGACAAGCAGAGGAGAAAGAACAGCCCTGAGGAGCTGGGAGGAGGAGACATCATTTCCCAGCTTCACCTGCTGCTTCCTGTCAGACAGGAAGTCTGTTATCCACCTTCAGGTGGAGTCAGACACCTTCAGCTGGAAGAGCTTCTCCTGGAGCAAAGCTGGGATGATTGGATTGAAGGCAGAGCTGCAATTCACAGGTGCTGGAGGATGGAGTGAAGGGCCGAATTGAAAGCGTTGCCTGCAGACCTGTTGGCTCTGTAGACAAACTGTAGGGGGTCCAGGAGGGGGTCAGTTATCTCTTTTAGGCGTGAGAGCACAAGGTGCTCTAAGGACTTCATAGCCACTGAGGTCAGGGTGACGGGTCCATTAGGTCATGTGAACCTTGTCTTCCTGGGAACAGGGATAACAGTGGAGGATCTGAGGCAGGATGGTGCGTGTCATGTGACCAGTTAGGTGTTCAAAATGTATGCGAACGTTGGAGACAGCTGATCAGCATAGAGCTGGATGGAGAGACGGAATCTGTCCTGCAGCTTTCAAGGCTTCTGTCTTCTCAACAGTTTATTTACATCTGTCTGGTTTATGGAAGGGGGTCGGTGGGGAGGAGGTGATATAAAAATCTTCTCACCACACCTGTAGGTCTCTACAGCTCCTCCAGAGTCACAGTTGACATTTTCACTGCTTGGTGTAAAATAAGTCAAGTCATAGTGCATAAAGTAAGGAGTTTCCTCACATCTCTCTCCCAGTCTATTGCCTCTGTCCTCTTTTTAGAAGGTGATGTTATCAGATGTGAAATTGTTTTTCAACCAAGTGTGAAAGTTGCTGTATGGTTGAAGAACGTGTGAAACAGGCCGGTTGCGTGAGTCTCATGGTCAATGTGCGAGAGGTGTCAGCACTGCCTAATGCACGGAGCAGACGCAACAGATCTGCGTAATGAAAGCCTATTGATTGCATTCTTAGCCAGTGATTAGCCCTAGGCCGCTTCAGAGCAACCACGGGTGGAAAACCAGACAGGCAGGGGAAGGTTTGAAAAAGAGCGGAATCAGTGGTAATCCACTGTTAGAGGAACAATTGATCTGCTCTTTGGCCCCATTTCAAGGTTATGTCAGCAAGAGGAACCAGAAAGCACTGGGTTGCATAAGCTCCAGAGGGCCAATCGTATGTGATGAGAAAGGTCATCAGTGGTTTATGGTTAAAATAACTAAACAGCATTAAACAAAATAATGATGGATGCTTTCAGAAAAACAAACAATAAATCCAGCGAGCTGCAGCTTAAAAGCAACGTTTCAACAGAACTGATGTTTTACTAATAAGGACAAAACCCTCTGCACACAAATTACTCCAAGCTTGATGGGATTTTCTTTTCCTTCATATTTGCTGAGTCTAAGTGACGCTTCCAGAGCTGACGTTATAAACTGGCTTCTGATTGGTCGGCTGGGAGGATGATCTTTGAACATGAATGCATAGAGAGCAGAAGGACTTTCTCAGCAACCAATCACAGCGTTAGCTGACAGAAAACATGGAAGATCCTCCAGCCAGACGTAAAATCATTCAAACAGGAAACTATTCCTGCTTGTTTGGTGCCACTTTATCAACCGATTCTTTTGTACAGAGAGAAGTTAGACCATTTTATCCCTCTAAGCTCTGGACACTATGGAGGAGTCATCATCTGGCATGATACAGATCCGATTATTGGAAATCAAACACACAGTTTAGGGAGACAGTTTTTCTTCATAAGGTCTAGAAAATATGTGTTCTTTGTTTTCTATAACCATGGGATCCTGCTGCGGTTGGTGGCTCTACTGTGCTAACAGCTCTGACTGGACTATTCTAGGTTCTGTTGGATGATGGTGTTCGTCCTTTTCACATTAACAGGTGCTTCAGCGTAGGACCCCCTGATGCACCTGTTTGGACGTAACTTCCTGACCTTTCAGTCCAGCAACAGCTTCACCTGAAACAGAAAGACTTCTGGAAGGAACTGAAAATGATGAATTATGTGAAGGGTTGGTTTAGGACACTGATCTGAGGCTGGTTCAGTCTCAGCCTGTTTAGAATATTTAACAAATGAAGACCTGATCTACTTTAGTTTAACTTGTCATTGGCTTCGTTAACTTATTAAATTTCTCTGCCGCCTATAAGTCAGAGCTGACCTCTAACATTAAACAGCTGCTTTCAGCACCAATGTTTTCTGCAGGAGTCTGAGTGATAAAAACCTTTTCATTTCTTCACCTCAATGAAACTCTCTAATTGCTGCTTTTCTCTTTGTGAATCTTTGTGAGTTGAAATAAACTTTAAAAAGTTACACAGATTGTTTCTGTTAAAATGAAACTTCTTGCTTTAATGTTATTTTCTATTTGGAAGTAGTTTAACAGACCTCTCTGCAGCTTCTCTACTGTTACTCATTACTCCATCCAGACATAATGTAATAAAATAGCAAAGATTCCCAAAGGAGTAAATCATGATAATCTAATTAAAATTAAAATAACAAAGAGTCAGCTGGTCAATGACTTGATTTATGATAATCAATTCAATTTCAATTCAATTCTATTCAGTTTATTTCTATAGCTCCAATTCACATCATGTCATCTCAGGTCACTTTCCAGTTCACCAGATCATCCAGTCAGATTGATTCAAAGTTTTCTATCTAAGGAAAACCAGCTGATTGCATCGACTCATTGACTCTTCAGCAATCCCTCACACTAAGCATGCTTGTAGCGACAGTGGAGAGGAAAAACTCCCTTTGAACAGGAAGAAACCTCCAGCAGAACCAGGCTCAGTGTGAGCGGCCATCTGCTGAGGCCCACTGGGGTTCAAGGAGACAGAAGCAGACATAGAAAAAGAAGCATAGATACAAAAGGCAACTGTCAACCAGCTCCACAGGCGGCCCCGTCCAGGAAACACACAGCCAGGCAGACGAGCTCCGAGCCAGCTCCCATGTCAGACTTTATCATTCCAGCTGTGCTGCTGCCATCAACACCTTTGTTTCTAGATGTTGGAGCTTGGCCTGTTTTCCAGTGTAGTCCTGTTTCTCTGACTGTGACTAACTGGATGTGCTCTCTTCATCCTCTGACATGGGAGCTGGCTCGGAGCTCGTCTGCCTGGCTGTGTGTTTCCTGGACGGGGCCACCTGTGGAGCTGGTTGACAGTTGCCTTTTGCATCTATGCTTCCTTTTCTATGTCTGCTTCTGTCTCCTTGAACCCCAGTGGGCCTCAGCAGATGGCTTCTGTCAAGTTAGGAAGCTGAGGCAGAGGCATTTCTTGCAAGAAAAAAGGTTTAAATTTATGTAACTTCCTGAGATGGAGAGATAGAGCTCTGTCTGAAGCAGGGAACCAACCCACCCCCTGCATAAAGAACTTTCTCACACTTGAAAATTTGGAGGAAAAACAGCTTGAGTTCATGAAGGCCGTTCCCTGTTAGGTTAATCTATCTTCCAGTGGTCAGATGGATCTCCTAATAACAGCAGTCCTCCCCTTCATTCCATGAAGGAGGCTGAGTGACTCATTCTTGTCTCTCATGACCTTCGTTTGGAGCCTGGGAGGCTAAGAACAGACATACCTCAATGTTTTTTACTCCACACCGCTCACACTGAGCCTGGTTCTGCCGGAGCTCTCTTTTTGTTCAAGTTTTTCCTCTCCACTGTCGCTACAAGCATGCTTAATGTGAGGGATTGCTGAAGAGTCAATGAGTCGATGCAATCAGCTGGTTTTCCTTAGATAGAAGCTATAAATCAATCTGACTGGAAGATCTGGTTGATTTTCATCTAAACTGATCTGGAAATAAACTGAATTAACTTAAATTCTACTCTTGGTCCTCAAGGCAACATAAAAAAGCTAAGAAAAGGCCTCAGTTAAACATTTCTGGTCTCTGAGGAGCCAGAAGCTTCTGTTTATCATAAAGGTCTGGATGTTTCTTGGCCTCCTCGCTCGTTTCACAAACATGTTGTTGTTTATTCAAGGGTTTTCAAGCTCTCCAAATTTTTCCATTTAATCATAATCCCAGATGCTACTAAATCCTGGAGGAACAGATCCTACATTTATTCAGCTCATCATTCAATAATTTAGCCTAAAATAATTTTGATTCTTTCGTTCTGCTGCTTTTGTTGATAAAATGACCACTGAGTCCTTCTAATCAAAGTAAACCTGCCTCACTTTTCTTCAAGTGTGTGCTCAGCCATTTCCCAGCTGACAGAAGTCCTGGAAGAGAGTAGCGGTAAGTAATAATGATCTTAATTACTGTATAAGGCAGTCTCCATGGGAACATGTCTTCTCTAGTTCACTTACTGGCTTGTTTTGTTCATTGTGAATCAGTGATGATGTTTTATTGTGTAAAGCAGTTAACATAATCTAGCTACAACTCATAAAATCCAGTAAAAACAGGGATAGTGTATTAAAATAGACCAGGTGTTTTAAAGGCCCCCTCAAGAAGAGGGTCACATTGTAGTAAGCATCATTATTTCCCAGTCAGAAGCTAAAAAATATGAGATTTACCAGAAATTAAAGGATCAGGAAGCTTTTTGCTCTCTAAAAAGATCAGAGTCTTTAATTAAATATGGGGGGGGGGGGGTCATATCCCATTCCTTTCTAACAATCTATCAGAAAACAATTTCAAATATCAATATTGCTAAGCAACAGCGCCTGATATATGGTGTGAATGTTACTCTACTGTGTGTCATCCTCTGACCTCAATGATGGAGATGCAACATTAATGTAGGGAACAGTAAGGCTAATCATTTATTAGTTTACAACATCAATAATTCACATTTAATAGATTGCATTGAGATGTTATTGACAAAACATTTATTCAGTTATTGACTGGTGTGAATAATTATGAAGGAAAAGAAATAATACAGACTTTCTACTTCTTAGAGAAAGAAAGATAAAAGAAAGACAGAAAGACGTTGTTTTAGATTTGAATCCCAAACATTTAAAAAACAAACAAACTCAACAAACTTAATTCTCTTTCTAAAGAAAAACAGGATTTCTTTTTAATTGAAGAGAATTTCTCTCATTTGGTGAAAGATGTTCCTTCATATCTGAGTAGTTATTCTGGCCTCCTGCTGTTCCTGGTTCAGCTCTAGCAGGACTGCAGTCATGTTAAATAAACGCCTACGATTATCTATCAGGACAGTTATGGTTTGTCCAAAGAAAACTCTTTTATTTTATGAGTTTAAAATTTATCATCTTCCGAATTATTGCTGCGAAAAAGTTCAGCTGTTATAGAACGGGATTATATAATGTGGCTTATTTTGACTTTTTCTTTTTCTTTTGCTTTTAATAATTAGGGGATTTGTTCATCAACTACAAAATTCAACTAATTTCCAATGAGTCCCTTATGGCCTAATATTATAACTTTGAGAAAATTATATTTTTTATAAACTAGAGTTATTGAACATTCTGACAAATGAAGATAAAGAACCATCAATTCTTAAATAAATTGAAATAGAAATCTTTCGTGATTAATAAGATATTTCCATTCATTTTGTTAGATATTTTCTGTCTAAATATTTCTGATTGTATAAGTCAGGGTTTTCCAAACCAAAAATGTCCCACTGATGATGTATTGGTCTCCAAAAACATCAAATATGATACATTCAGCATTAAGGAACCCTTAACATGCTCACAGTTTAAATAAGATGCATGTGGTTAGTTTACATCATGGTTATAAATACTTTTAAATAGTCAGATGGCTAAACGTAATTAAGATTTTCACCCATTTTCTATGATTTAAGCTGTTTCACTGTTATATTTCATTAAAAATAAACCTTTAAAAATAAGATATTAACTTCAGACCCCAGCAGGAGAAAGTCCTGAATCCAGGTTGATGGGTTCATGCAGGCTGAGGTTTTTAACGAGGCTGTTTGCCGTGACGTGCTTCGCCTCATTCTGACTAGGGGAGCTGTCCGGTGCTGAAAATCAATTATCACCCCGCAGGAACAATTGACTGTGATGAGGATTGCTACTGCTAAGTGCTGCAGGAAGAAGGATTGGGTGATACATCTGTTAACTCTCTGCAAACCTTAATTTCAGTTAAAGTAATACTTTCTTTTTTTTACTCTGAATAGAACAGAAATCAGGGTAGAATGCAACATGCCAACTTCAGTACAAAACTTTCAGATTTAGTTTGTTTCAAAGAGGTGGAGACCTTTCAGCCTCTCCATCAGGAGCATCAAGCTCCACATATACATATACATATATATATACAGTATATATATATATATATATATATATATATATATATATATATATATATATATATATATATATATATATATATATATAAATAAAGCTATAAACACTCACCATTTGTGTTGTTTAAGCCAAAATCACAGGAAAACCAACTGGGTTTCTGTATGAACAGTCGTAGGTTTTCTATGGCTGCTTTCCTCCTTCCTCTCTTCCTTCTTTGTCTTTAACAGTCAAACATGTTTTGTAGGATTGTTCACCCAGAAGGCTGGAGAGTAAACTTAGACATGTCTTCATCCAGAGCTGCGTCCTGTTGCTCCATCTTCCCCTCCTGTCTGATGGTGTATCTCTGCTGATGCCTGCCTGTGTGTGGGAGAGAAACAGAGAGAGCTCTGATTATGTGCCTATTTATAAGTGCTATTGTTTTCCCCCGGGAGCGGAGATGTAGAGCAGATATTTAAAACTTTAACCAACTCAAACCAACCCTTAAAGCTCACAGCAATGATTTATCAGGGACATTCATAAACTCACTTTGAGAGAAGTTCTTAAAATAGCTTTAAATCAAATATATATATATATATATATATATATGTGTCTAATGTATTTAAAACATTGAAGTTATACATGCAAAGACATTTTTTGACTGCTAAAAATATGATGAAGAAAACAGATTCCAGATCATAACTTTTTAACTGTACATTATATAGTTTTAATGTTTAACGTTTGAATGTTCATTATTTTCTCTGCTCAGCAGATTAATGATGCAGAGTTCTAACTTTCAATTTAGTAATTCCATTTTTTAACAAACTTTTAAACATACAGTATGCATTAAAAGTCTCAATGCTAAAGTAGATTAGAACTTCTTATTATTCTATTGGAACATTATTTTCTTTAAGATTAAATTCATGGTATCTATTGGTCTTGGTCCCACTGGGAAAAATTTAAACAAATAGGTTGATTATTAGCAAACAGTGCCGCTATTTTCATTTTTCATTAAGATGTTGCATTTTGACTGCAGGTTTTAGTGTCGATAACAAGCTTCTACTTAAATGAGATAATTTATCTCCTGTCTTTTCATAATTTGAAGTTTGTTGTATTTTGAATGGTTTGGAAAAGCAAAGCATTTACTTTATGGTCGGGGTTGAAAGCAGGAGACTATTATCAATATGAGTCATAGATTAGGAAAATATGTGTTGGGATCCGGAGGCTTGCCCACCAGAGGGCGCCAAGGATCCCTTCCTGAGGGCTGGTGCTCACCTGCAACACCTGTTTTCCATCTGCTCATCAAGAGGTCCCTACTTAAGGAGGCGGAGAGCTACACTCCAGCGCCAGAGTGTTTGCCAGTTATGGTTGAACCTGCCTGAAAACCTGAAAACTCTGAAGAGTTTCTCTGTTGGAAATCTGCCCGCCTGATCTCTGAAGAACCCTGGAGAATCTTTCCTGCCAAGGACCTGCCTGCCCGCTCTCTGAAGAATTTAGAAGGAAAACCCAAACCTGGAATCTGTAAACACTCAACCAAGCTCTGCCTCCGCCAAGCCCTCAGCCTGCCGACAGCCTCTGGACCCTCAAGGTCGCCCACCTCAGCCAGGTCCTCAAGAGAGAGGAAGAGAGAGAGAGCCAAGCCTGGAATCTGCCCGCCAGCACTCAGACTGTCTCAGCCTAGCTGTTAGTTCACCTCCTGTCAGCACTCAGCTCTGCTAGCCCTCGGCCTGCCAACCTCTCTGCAGCTCTGCTCATCCCCAGACCAGCGGGGAACCAAATCCTGATCAGTTTCCCAAACCCTGGACTTGTTTTATTAATTTACCGTCCTTTAAATAAACCTTTAAACTTTACCCAGTCTCCGAGTGGTTCTGCATATGGGCTAGAGTCCTTCACCCATTATGACAATATGAAGCTTAATAAAAATAAAATTCACTGCTTCTATTTTCCATGTTTTAAATATAGCAGCATTGCTTTATTGAGAGACAGAAGAATTTTATTTAATGTGAAAAAAAGCACTTTATTAGACAATTTATCAACCAGAATTGATGTAGCGAAATATGGAGATAAAACAAGACGAATCAGTTTCACTAAGTTCCAGAAATCCAATGATCAAAATCTGTGTTTTTCTATGAGCCAGACGCTAAATTAATCAGATTATTAATTGAATCATTGCATGTAAAATAAAAATGCAATAAGCCTTGATGTGGATTATTGGAATTAATCCCTTTTCCCACTTTCAGCTGTGCTGCTATTCTTCAAAGAACAAAGTTAAATTTTGGTACATTTCTTTAAAATAAAGATTAACTCACTTCTATAGATTTGGTTTCACAGTTTCACTGAATATCAGCTGCCTTTTCCCCGACAAATAAATAGTTAATAAAGGTATTTAATCTCATTTTTATTGCTCTTCCAGAATAAAGCGGCTGCCAGAGATTGTAGATTTTCTTCTATTTGGGATTTTACTGAAATTAAATCAGAGGCATAAAAGCCAAATGATTTTAAAGAAAGTTGCAGTCAGAAAGTTTATTTAATTTCTGATTATTTATCAGTGGTTTATTATTTAGTAATCACGCCCGGTTCATTCAGAAAGAAATCTATTAGCATGGAATAAAAACATAAAAAACAGCTTTTCTCATAAAAAACGTCACGCTTATAAAGATTAAAGTCACTAAAGACTTTATCTGGGGATAAAAAAAAAAAGATCTTATAAAATATTTAACTCAGCTCAGATTCTTACAGGAAGAGAAAAGGATATAAGACAACATTTAAATTATTTTTTGTTTTTCAGAATGAATGGGCGAACAGCTTATAGTTAGAGTGGCTCAGGGCTATCTCTATATCATCAACACCTTTGTTTCTAGATGTTGGAGCTTGGCCTGTTTTCCAGTGTAGTCCTGTTTCTCTGACTGTGACTAACTGGATGTGCTCTCTTCATCCTCTGACATGGGAGCTGGCTCGGAGCTCGTCTGCCTGGCTGTGTGTTTCCTGGACGGGGCCGCCTGTGGAGCTGGTTGACAGTTGCCTTTTGTATCTATGCTTCTTTTTCTATGTCTGCTTCTGTCTCCTTGAACCCCAGTGGGCCTCAGCAGATGGCTGCTCACACTGAGCCTGGTTCTGCTGGAGGTTTCTTCCTGTTCAAAGGGAGTTTTTCCTCTCCACTGTCGCTACAAGCATGCTTAGTATGAGGGATTGCTGAAGAGTCAATGAGTCGATGCAATCAGCTGGTTTTCCTTAGATAGAAAACTTTGAATCAATCTGACTGGATGATCTGGTTGATCTGGAAAGTGACCTGAGATGACATGATGTGAATTGGAGCTATAGAAATAAACTGAATAGAATTGAATTGAACTCTGAGTGACTGAGTGAACTGGGTCTGTCTGTTTGCCTTTACACTTCTACTCTTTGATGTAGAAATACAGCTGATCTGGTTGATGTTGCCTCTATGTAAATACTTTTGAAAGATAGACGTGTGAATGTAGAACATCCACTCAGGGTTTTATTGTGTCTTTTTTTCCACTACCTCTTTGAAGCATCTTACCAATTAGACACAACTTTTTAGTTTCCATGGAAACGTTAGTTTCCCCTCACAATAAATCTGCTCTCTTCACAAGGTTTATATTTAAAACCCCTCTGGATCCAGAGACAACTGGTGGGCATTGCATTGCATTAGTGGAATGCAGCAATATCTGAGTAAGAAGTGTGGGCGTAGGTCAAAGGTCAAAGGCTTAATAAAGTGGGTGAATAAGTATGCCGTCTTAACACAGGCCGTGAAGTCTTGAGAACAAAACAGTTGTAACTTGTGTGTGAAGATTCTAATAAAGGTTTTACAATCAAACATTTTTTTTACACTTGGAAACAAATTTAGGTTTATTTAGAGATAAAGGAGCAAATAAATAAAGAGCTGCGGTAAAAACCAAAGCATCTGTATCTGAATGGGTAAAACGGTTCATCCTGTTTTCCAGCATCACCGTCTTTGTATGAAAAAACTGAGGCAGTTTCACTGGCATACTTTAAAACCCATTTAACATGCCCCCCCAAACCCCATCCCCCCCCACCCCAACAGGAGACAACTCACACACGTCCAAAATAAACTTCATCCAGTGGGTCAAGGATGGAAAATCTGCACCAAAAGCCTTCGACATAGAACTGTGTCCCTTTAGTGGTTAAATGTGATGTGCAGCTGATGGAGCTATTTATTGGTCTTACCCAGGGGCCCGTTTGATGACTCCCTTAAAATGCCATGAGAGCCAATTTATTTGGAAGCAGGCGGCTGGATCATTTCTCACTTTCAGAGCTCATCCAGGTCAACATGTTTTTTTTTTTTTTTTAGAAAAACAGGCCGACAGAGATAGGAGGAGGCAAAATAACATCAGTTCCTTTCAAAGGTTTCTCACTGTGCTGTGCTAAAGCTCCGCACATACATACACACATATAAACACACATATATATAAACACACATTCCTCATACATGGTAAAAAGTGTATGCTTTGCATGGTGATGAAACAATGTCAGTCTAAAAGTCAAAAAGCTCAGAGATTATTATCTTTTATGTCTGAAAGCAGGTTTTCTATTTTACACAGAGAGTTTCCTCCATTGACTCTGTATCGGTCTTTGTCAGACACGTGACTGACACGCCCCCTAGCGCCATTTTTGTGGTGATCAGAAAACAGCAGAAAACAAGAGGAGAGCGCTGCCAGCAGTGAGGATTATCAGTTAAATGGAAAAGAACAAGAAAACTGAACGGATACCCTACCCAGACAAACTTTCTAAAGCTGCTAGGGAACGATATTATATATTATTATTATAGTGACAAGGCAGATGTTGTGGGCAGTTGCACAGATAGCTGCAGTTATTAGAGCAGTTTGTGCTGCTCATCAGACTGAACGAAAAAACTTGTCATAATTTTTACACATTGATAAGTTGCACACTGTATTTGCTGTTCACTTTATCCAGGCCTGTTTTCACTGGGATCTGCAGTCTTCTTCACAGATATCACCTGTTAGGTAATATATCTACGGAAGACCACAGAGAAAACAAGTCCAGGGAAAATGAAAATCTTCTAATTTAATTTAAAGAGCAATCTGCTATATACGAGGGAGGAAGAAAAAGTAAAACATTTGAAGCTTTGCACTGTTCTGCATTATTTATGTATTTGAGATTTTGTATTGCATTTTCATAAATTCTCTGCTTGATTGAATAGATAACAACACTTGTTTCAAATTTCAAATCCACTCTTTATTGTACACACATTTTTACAACCTCAGAAACATTGTTAATATTTGAAGTGATGGTGAAACTTATATTTGTTTTGCTGTTATTTTTCAAAAGTAACTTTAAAAAAAGCAAAATTCTATTTGTGTGAAAAGAAGAATAAAAAAAGAAGAATAAAGTTGAAACAGTACTTGATCTGGCATTCATTTATTAGCTGGTTTCTCTGTGAAAATTTCAAAACAGTCAATAATCACTGTGACTCTATGTCCAAAGGCATCCACAAACTGATGAGGCATAATTTTGTGCAAGGTGTCTCTATCTGGCCACACAATTGCACGCTTTAGATTTGCATATAAAAATGACAGCATTTCATTGAATGTTCTGTACACTGTCTTTGGTGAAACACGGAAGAGATAAGCAAGGTGTTTTGAGGGCAGATCCAATCTCAGACGCATGAAGGTTAACAGAAGCATTTGAAATGGACTGAGAATTTTATTTTGAGCAGACATGAGAGGCAGCAGAAAGTTAAACAAAGCCATAAAGGTTGCCAAGTTTAGTAGACCCGTATAGTACTGGACTTTTTCATTAGTGTCTCCAAAGAAGCAATCAGAGATCCGCAGCTCATCAAGTTCACGCCGCAGCTCTCTGTTTTCTTCCAAAAGACGGTTCATCTCTGCACACCTGAGCACACACAGGTTACATTCTGTCTGTCCTTCCTGACGACCACCTTCTGTGTCATCCTTGGTGTTTGGCCGGCCAACGTTTTCAGCAGCCTTCTGCGTGTCAGTCTGTTGCTGGTTAGGGTTCTCTGTCGCCTCATGTGTAACTTCATCCTGTCGCTGAAGGATTTCATCAGCCTGATGGAGCCCCGTTTCAGTTGCTTGCAGGGCATTCTTTTTCAGCTGTTCCCGATAACCACGTCTTAAAGAGCGGTCTGTGTCTGATGGTCTGATGTCAGTGTGGCCCAAATGCAGGGATGGAGCCAAGTCTGGGTCAGTCTCCATCATCTCATATGCGGGTTGACCTGCAAAGTAGATGAAAGGTTGAGTGTTTTACACATCTATTCAAAACACTATATAAAGCTCCTTAATAACAGAGCCCATTAGATTAGATGTGTTATAAAATAAGATATGCTTATGTTTCCCACAGTGGGGAAATTTGCTATACCGAAACAGCACAAGTACATCGGACTAGTAAGGCCAGAGGTAAATAAATAACGAACAAAGGATTATAATAAATAAACTTCAGTCGATTGCACAGGATGAATAAATGCAGTGAGTTGGCTGATGAGTGGGTATGTACAGTGTTTTTATATGTACAGTGTTTTTATATGTACACTGTATTTATATATATTTATTCATAAAAAAATATATTTGTATTGCAGATTGTGTAAATGATTATATACAGAGAATGCATTATTTATTAAATTTTAGCGGTCTAAAAAAGAAATAAAACAAACATCACTTTCCGCTTCTCTTCCACAGCATGTTTCAGTAGGTTTACATGAACTCCTGCAACTTTATAAGCAAACCATTTCAGCGTGTTGATTTCTATTAGTGTATATTTATAAGGACTTACCTTTGTGAAAATGCCGAGAGCAAACACGAGCATGAGGAGATATTTTATGAAACGTGATGTCTTTCCTTCTTACAGCAGCGACCCACGGAGCCCGACGCCTCTTTGTTAAGTCCTCTGTCTGCGGTCCGTATTTTTTTTCCAAGTGGGGAATACGAAAAACCGTAAGGCCCCATCTGCTGTTTTCTGTTTAGAATTACTATTGCATCCTTTGACGCAGCACCAGTGTCCCATTATTTCCAAAGAAGCAACTAGAACACGTCTGCTCTCTATTAGTTTTCTTTTGTTTGTTGCTGCTGTCTCTTCACCACAGAAATGGCGCTAACTACTCTAAATGAATTGCGCTTTTGCGGAAGTGACGTACACTGTCACAGACCGATACAGAGACACTTCATTAGATGCTCTCTGCAGTGAGGCTGACATGCCTACAGGGCGGCCATCTTAGGTCAGACCATAGTTTAGACAGCTGCAGAAATAATGAAAGGGAGAAGATCTCATTTTAATCACATTAAGATAATATCAAGATAATCTCTGACGTCACAACTACTTAAAACTCACATTCTAAAATGACCTTCAGTTACATTACAATTACTTACATTTACTCAGATTACAACCTATTTAAACTGAACTCAAACTGGACAAAATTTATACAAATTTATATATTTTGTAATTAAATATTAATATGATAAACACAGTTTTATATTATAATATTATACTAATAAATATTATATATTTAAGTAGTATATTAGTATTATTCAGTATTTTTAAGGATTCCTCTTTGATAATGAATGTTATGATCTATTGAGGAAACTTTGTTGTGATGTGATTTACCAAACAGAGTAAAGTTATTATTTAGTATTTTCATTGATCAAAATGTTAAATTTTTTTTTGTAATGAACAGATGGGCCGAGTATTCAAGGTGAGACAGTCAGTGGGAAAGTACAAAACGTTTATAAAAACAAAAAACAGAACGGACATGGCGCTGCTTTGGAGCTGCCGTGGAGCTGCTGTGGAGCTGCCGTGGAGCTGCTTTGGAGCTGCCGTGGAACTGCTGTGGAACTGCTGTGGAGCTGCTTTGGAGCTGCCATGGAGCTGCCGTGGAACTGCTGTGGAACTGCTGTGGAGCTGCTTTGGAGCTGCCGTGGAACTGCTGTGGAACTGCTGTGGAGCTGCTTTGGAGCTGCCGTGGAACTGCTGTGGAACTGCTGTGGAGCTGCTTTGGAGCTGCCGTGGAGCTGCCGTGGAACTGCTGTGGAACTGCTGTGGAGCTGCTTTGGAGCTGCCGTGGAGCTGCCGTGGAACTGCTGTGGAACTGCTGTGGAGCTGCTTTGGAGCTGCCGTGGAACTGCTGTGGAACTGCTGTGGAGCTGCTTTGGAGCTGCCGTGGAGCTGCCGTGGAACTGCTGTGGAACTGCTGTGGAGCTGCTGTGGAGCTGCTGTGGAGCTCCCGTGGAGCTGCTGTGGAGCTCCCGTGGAGCTGCTTTGGAGCTGCCATGGAGCTGCCGTGGAACTGCTGTGGAACTGCTGTGGAACTGCTGTGGAGCTGCTGTGGAGCTGCTGTGGAGCTGCTGTGGAGCTCCCGTGGAGCTGCTGTGGAGCTCCCGTGGAGCTGCTTTGGAGCTGCCATGGAGCTGCCGTGGAACTGCTGTGGAACTGCTGTGGAGCTGCTGTGGAACTGCTGTGGAGCTGCTGTGGAACTGCTGTGGAGCTCCCGTGGAGCTGCTTTGGAGCTGCCATGGAGCTGCCATGGAGCTGCCGTGGAACTGCTGTGGAACTGCTGTGGAACTGCTGTGGAGCTGCTGTGGAGCTGCTGTGGAGCTGCTGTGGAGCTCCCTTGGAGCTGCTGTGGAGCTCCCGTGGAGCTGCTTTGGAGCTGCCATGGAGCTGCCGTGGAACTGCTGTGGAACTGCTGTGGAGCTGCTGTGGAACTGCTGTGGAGCTGCTGTGGAACTGCTGTGGAGCTCCTGTGGAGCTGCTGTGGAGCTGCCGTGGAGCTGCCGCGGAGCTGCTTTAATGCTGCTGTGGAGCTCCCGTGGAGCTGCTGTGGAGCTGCCGTGGAGCTGCTTTGGAGCTGCCGTGGAGGTGCCGTGGAGCTGCTTTGGAGCTGCCGTGGAGCTGCCGTGGAGCTGCTTTGGAGCTGCCGTGGAGCTGCCGTGTAACTGCTGTTGAACTGCTGTGGAACTGCTGTGGAGCTGCTGTGGAGCTCCCGTGGAGCTGCCATGGAGCTGCTGTGGAGCTGCCGTGGAGCTGCTGTGGCTGTGGAGCTGCTGTGGAGCTGCTTTGGAGCTGCTGTGGAGCTGCTGTGGAGCTGCTTTGGAGCTGCTGTGGAACTGCTGTGGAGCTGCCATGGAGCTGCCGTGGAGCTGCTGTGGAGCTGCTGTGGAGCTGCCATGGAGCTGCCGTGGAGCTGCTGTGGAGCTGCTGTGGAACTGCTGTGGAGCTGTCATGGAGCTGCCGTGGAGCTGCTGTGGAGCTGCCGTGGAACTGCTGTGGAGCTGCTGTGGAGCTGCTGTGGAACTGCTGTGGAGCTGCTGTGGAACTGCTGTGGAGCTGCTGTGGAGCTGCCGTGGAACTGCTGTGGAACTGCTGTGGAGCTGCTTTGGAGCTGCCGTGGAACTGCTGTGGAACTGCTGTGGAGCTGCTTTGGAGCTGCCGTGGAACTGCTGTGGAACTGCTGTGGAGCTGCTTTGGAGCTGCCATGGAGCTGCCGTGGAACTGCTGTGGAACTGCTGTGGAGCTGCTTTGGAGCTGCCGTGGAACTGCTGTGGAACTGCTGTGGAGCTGCTTTGGAGCTGCCGTGGAACTGCTGTGGAACTGCTGTGGAGCTGCTTTGGAGCTGCCGTGGAGCTGCCGTGGAACTGCTGTGGAACTGCTGTGGAGCTGCTTTGGAGCTGCCGTGGAACTGCTGTGGAGCTGCTTTGGAGGTGCCGTGGAGCTGCCGTGGAACTGCTGTGGAACTGCTGTGGAGCTGCTGTGGAGCTGCTGTGGAACTGCTGTGGAACTGCTGTGGAACTGCTGTGGAGCTGCTGTGGAGCTGCTGTGGAGCTGCTGTGGAGCTGCTGTGGAGCTCCCGTGGAGCTGCTGTGGAGCTCCCGTGGAGCTGCTTTGGAGCTGCCATGGAGCTGCCGTGGAACTGCTGTGGAACTGCTGTGGAGCTGCTGTGGAACTGCTGTGGAGCTGCTGTGGAACTGCTGTGGAGCTCCCGTGGAGCTGCTTTGGAGCTGCCATGGAGCTGCCATGGAGCTGCCGTGGAACTGCTGTGGAACTGCTGTGGAACTGCTGTGGAGCTGCTGTGGAGCTGCTGTGGAGCTCCCGTGCAGCTGCTGTGGAGCTCCCGTGGAGCTGCTTTGGAGCTGCCATGGAGCTGCCGTGGAACTGCTGTGGAACTGCTGTGGAGCTGCTGTGGAACTGCTGTGGAGCTGCTGTGGAACTGCTGTGGAGCTCCTGTGGAGCTGCTGTGGAGCTGCCGTGGAGCTGCCGCGGAGCTGCTTTGGAGCTGCTGTTGAGCTCCCGTGGAGCTGCTGTGGAGCTGCCGTGGAGCTGCTTTGGAGCTGCCGTGGAGGTGCCGTGGAGCTGCTTTGGAGCTGCCGTGGAGCTGCCGTGGAGCTGCTTTGGAGCTGCCGTGGAGCTGCCGTGTAACTGCTGTTGAACTGCTGTGGAACTGCTGTGGAGCTGCTGTGGAGCTCCCGTGGAGCTGCCATGGAGCTGCTGTGGAGCTGCCGTGGAGCTGCTGTGGCTGTGGAGCTGCTGTGGAGCTGCTTTGGAGCTGCTGTGGAGCTGCTGTGGAGCTGCTTTGGAGCTGCTGTGGAACTGCTGTGGAACTGCTGTGGAGCTGTCATGGAGCTGCCGTGGAGCTGCTGTGGAGCTGCTGTGGAACTGCTGTGGAGCTGTCATGGAGCTGCCGTGGAGCTGCTGTGGAGCTGCCGTGGAACTGCTGTGGAGCTGCTGTGGAGCTGCTGTGGAACTGCTGTGGAGCTGCTGTGGAACTGCTGTGGAGCTGCTGTGGAGCTGCTGTGGAGCTGCTGTGGAGCTGCTGTGGAACTGCTGTGGAGCTGCCATGGAGCTGCCGTGGAGCTGCTGTGGAGCTGCCATGGAGCTGCCGTGGAGCTGCTGTGGAGCTGCTGTGGAACTGCTGTGGAGCTGCCATGGAGCTGCCGTGGAGCTGCTGTGGAGCTGCTGTGGAACTGATGTGGAGCTGCCATGGAGCTGCTGTGGAGCTGCTGTGGAGCTGCCATGGAGCTGCCGTGGAGCTGCTGTGGAGCTGCTGTGGAACTGCTGTGGAGCTGCCATGGAGCTGCTGTGGAGCTGCTGTGGAGCTGCTGTGGAACTGCTGTGGAACTGCTGTGGAACTGCTGTGGAGCTGCCATGGAGCTGCTGTGGAGCTGCCATGGAGCTGCCGTGGAGCTGCTGTGGAGCTGCCGTGGAGCTGTTGTGGAGCTGCTGTGGAACTGCTGTGGAGCTGCCATGGAGCTGCTGTGGAGCTGCCGTGGAGCTGCTGTGGAGCTGCCATGGAGCTGCCGTGGAGCTGCTGTGGAGCTGCTGTGGAGCTGCTGTGGAGCTGCCGTGGAACTGGTAGGAGCCTCCTATTGGATAATTACTGCATGGGCGATTATCTTTCAGATGGCAACAAGTGATTTAACCCCAGCTGGTGCAATGACTTGCTTCTCATTTCCTAAACAACCATGTTGAAAGACACATCCGGTGGTCATGGAAAAGATGTTAGTTTGTTTGAGAAGGGTCAAATCATTGGCATGCATCAAGCAGAGAAAACATCTAAAGAGATGCAGAAACTATTAAAATTGGGTTAAGAACTGTCCAAGCATTAATAAAAACTGGAAGGATAGTGGGGACCCATCATCTTCAAGGAAAAATAGGCCGGAAAAAAATCCTGAATGATGGTGATCGGCAATCACTTAAACATCTGGTGAGATCAAATGGAAGAAAAACATCAGTAGAACTCAGGGCTATGCTTAATACTGAAAGTAAGAGTGTTTCCACACGCACAATGCGAAGGGAACTCAAGGGATTGGGACTGAACAGCTGTGTAGCCGTAAGAAAACCACTAATCAGTGAAAAAAGGCTTCAGTTTGCAGGGAGCATAAAGATTGGACTGTGGAGCAATGGAAGAAGGTCATGTGGTCTGATGAGTCCAGATTGACCCTGTTCCAGAGTGATGAGCC